TTTGCGAAACTATATGAAAAATTCTCAAACATGTCAATTTCTCTGGATATAACTAAATATTAAAAAAAGAAGGTAGAGAAGTACAAACTAAAATTTGCTGATTTTTCGGTTAATTTTACCAATTTTTGAAAAGGCTTTATTATTATTTGCAGGTTATAACGATAATACCACAGATCATTTTATCACTAAAAACTTCTCGCTATCATATGTATAAAAAATTAAAAAAAACGTTGCCCATCATTTCAAGAGTTTTAAAAAAATGATAACCATGGACATACCTATATATTATAAACTGTTCCATTTTGCGGAACCTTATGATAGATTCTCAACTATGCCAATTGCTCTGGATAAAACAAAATATTAAAAAAAGAAGGTAGAGGAGTACAAACTAAAATTTGCTGACTTTTCGGTTAATTTTGCCGATTTTTGAAAAGGCTCACCCCGGCTTAACTCTAAAAAAGTGCCTTATCACATACGCTTTTGAACTATAAAAATCCTATAAATAGAATTTACTAAACTGAGAATCATACATTGAAAAATCACTGGAAAATATTTATATGCTATCCAGAGCAAGTTGGTATCTATGGATTCCAGAGGGAAAAAAATATCTGTCAAAACACTAGTACTGTTTGGTAAAGAAATTTCTGGCAATGAAAAGCTTCTGTTAATGAAACTAAAACAAACAGTATTTAAGTCGTATGGTAACGGTTTACCGAATATTCTGGTTTTCCAAATTACAGCTGTTATTAACACACCTTTCGAAAAATACAAAACTGAAAAGTAAACTTATCCATGTAAACAGTTTAAAATGGTTTTAATGGAAAGCTCTAAGATATCACGATAAATCTTCCAAACTTAACACATTTACCATATTTTGACACATCTTACAAATAAAATATATTTTATTGTTAATTTTACCAAAGTATTAACCAAAACGCTTCGGTAAAAATTACCGTGGTAATATACTCACAGGCCAAGTCTTCAATTGTTAAAGATTAATTGAAACAGATTTTGGAGTGAAATTTTACGATTTCCATATTTGCAATGAAATGTTTCTGCATGATAAGTAGTCAGTTAAGGAAAATTTTTGAAAATTGTAAAGTTTTTGTCAAAAGCTTGATGTAAAATGTAACTTATGTTTAATGTAAATGCAATATATGTAATGTAAATGTTAATATGTATGTTGTAAAATGTAATGGATGATGTAATGTAAATATATGATGTAATGTAAACGTATGATGTAAAATGTCACTTATGATCGAACACTACAGTGCCCTAAACTTTAAGTAGTTTTTGTTCTTTTTTTTCGAGAACTATTATTTGGATCAAAATAATTTACAGTTGAGTCTAAAAATATAAAGAGTATACTCATGTTAGAGTCCTTTTTGTAAACATTCTGAGACGTCATATTTCTTTTTATAAAAGCAGGTAATAGCCCATTTTTCAAGCATTCACTTAAAGTTTTAATGTAATCAAAATGCATATTTTCAATTGCAATATTTTTTTTCATATGATCTAATGCTCTCCAACATGTAGCTAACAGCAAATTAACCATAACATGACAAAACGGTTTGTAATGTTTATGTCTACTAAAAACGTGAAAATTATTTAAAAAAACAATAGTTAATAAAAAGTTCAGTTGTTTTTAATTGTAAAAATATCTCCTTTTAATCAAATTCAGTTTAAAAAAAGTTTGACTAAATTTTAAACCACGCAAAAATTAAAAATTTTGGTAAAAAAGAGCCATTAAACTTTATTTAAATTTTATGAATTATTTTAACCCAATATCAAAGACAGTAATACATCGCATTGCATTAAAATGACATGTATGTAAAATATAATTTTCAAAGTATACTGTGAAGTTTAAATATATATTAAATTAATGCTAATTTACAAAGCATAAATAACAAAAAAAATGCTTTTAACTATAATGTAATAAACATTATTTATACATTTTTCGCTTGAAATTTTATTTTGAAAAATGTAGTAAGAAATTTCCTCGCAGATTTGGAAAAAAAGTCTTATATCATCATTCACTATATTTCTTTAAAAAGAAAAATTATGCATAATATATAAGCTAAGATAATTTTATTTTAAATATCTCCTTCAGAAAAATATTCCTTTTGAAGAATAAATGTATTTTTATGCTTTTAACTTTTATAAATGCACATATCTTAAGGAATTTAATAGAAAAGCAAACAATATTATTACTTTCAGTGAAAGCTACATAACAAAAAGTTTTACATTGCATTTAAACTTTAAATCAGTTCTCAATGAGATGAAAGAGAAATTCTGAAAAGTATTCTGAAAAGAGAAAACAAAGTAGATAATACTCTTCTCTACATTCTGTAAGTAAAACAAAAATTTTAAGATAAAATAATTTACATCTTTTATACTCTATGCACAAGAAAAAAAATATTTTACTGAAATTTTTTTCTCTCATTTTTTCGTTTGATGAAGTTAAGCTGAAGAAAAAGGTGTTTAGAATAAGTATTCAGTTGAATTGGAAGAAAGATGATTAGAATAAAAGTTCAAAGATACAACAGTTTCGTAAGCAAATAATGCTTTATTATAAAATTATATATATTGCAATAAATTTTTTTTTCATAAAACAAAAAGCATCAATAATTGTGGTTGCAGCAATTGTGGCATCAATACCTGCGGTCTCAGAATTTTAGAAAATTCCATATCACCACTCATTATGTAAGGGGTTTTTCTGCGTTTTTAAATAATTTCTGTAAAATCAATTTTTTTTTGTTGCGAAAAATGCGTCTAATTCAGAAATTAATAGTTGTTTTAATGTGTATTTTCTTGCTTGTTTCTATTTAATTCTTAAATTATTAAATTTGATTTGAAAAGACTAATAACTATATCATAATTTATTAAATTATAAAATATTATTTTCTGTGAACAAAATAATAAAATATTTAAGTTTACAATTAAAATTCAGTGGTCGTTCCCAATCTCCGAGAAAGGAACTATTCACCGAACTATTCTCCGAATAAGAAAAAAATAGCAAGTATGCATTTCCTCTATTTCTTAAATGCATTACGAGATGTTCTGCCATTAAATCATTGATAGGTGAACTAGGACTAATGATCAACTCAACTCTCTCAAGCAATTTAGTATATGCGAACTGCACTACAGTTCTACACATCACCATCTGAATCACCTTATGACTGCCTTCATAGTACTATATCTGTTACGCTAAATTGCACCATTAACAAACTAAGCTATATTCCACGTTTAGACGTGCTATGAATTTTTAATTCTTCAGAAAATTTCCAGGTTTATTCCAAGAAATTTACTGATTTTTAGTGGGAAGATTCCTGAATTGAAGTATCCTGAAAATATTTTTAAAAAAAACATCCTTTTCTTCTAGAATTGATACTGATAAAAATTAAACACATTTTCTGTCCATTTTGCCCACATTTGCTTCTCTAGGTTTATTGCTTAGAGTTCATATTATGCACAAATTATAGATTCCCCACTTACTTTTTAGTATTCTCAGCCTTTAGCCTTCAAGTGAACATGTATACAATGATGGGCAATACATGTATGAATTGCCCAGCAATGTATTCGAGAAATCACGTGGGTGACACGTATTCTACACAATATACATGTAAAAAATACAATTGCAGGAGAGGGATATCAGTTAATTTTTTTCTTGTAATTGACATTCTAATTTCATTAAAAATTAAAATTACCTATAACTCACGGATCAGATGAAGTTAACCGTTTTAAAAACTGCATTCAAAACTACATTTAAAAACTACATTCGAAACTACTTTCAAAACACTTTTAAAAGGAAATTTCAGTCAAATTTTTCTTTTCTTACAGCTAGTGTTGCGTTAGTGTGCGTTTCTTACAGCTAGTGCAGCAAGTAAGGATACCGAAGTGATAATCATTGAGCGGATAAATAGTTTTTTTCCCCCTCGTTTTGTAATTTCATCATGTTATTTTTGCTAGTTTATCACTTTATATTAGTAGCAAGTTTTACATTATTTTAGATCTCAAGTATTTAATTTTTTGAAAATAGATAATATCGCCTTAATTTCCGATATAGCACGTACTGCAATATTGAAACCGTCATGTGGTAATTAAATCCAGCCGACATTTTTAAATCGGCCTTACTACCAGCTGTTTAAATGAGTGCACTCCTTGAATCTGTATATTCTTTTAAAAAAATCACTTAATTACTTATACTTGGTTTGAAGTATAAATAATTTTTTCACTAATTTGACTTAGTTCATGCTTAATTTGTTAACTACCTGTTGCTACTGATGTATCAAATTGCAAGTGGGCATGGAGATCTCGTTTGCAAATTTGCAGCATACCCACGTCGTACGTCGCCACGTCTATAAAAAGTTTTCACTTTTATGTATTTTTTATTTACATATATATTTCTTTAAAGTTCAGAATCTTTTTCGAAAAAAAGATTAACATTCATTTTTATGAAATTTATTTTCTTTTATTAAAATTTATGAAAATTGATGTCAATTTAAAACAATTAATCAAAATTTACAATATTTTTTTATATTTTAAATATCAAGTTTATACTATCTCTTTTTTAATTTATTTTCTCTAATAGCATTCCATCCTTACACTAAAGCACAGCTAAAATACGAATTCCTACTTTTTAATGTGTTTATTTTAATAAGTCACACAATTTTCAAATGGTCACAAAATGTGAAATATGTTAAAATTTTGCAAATTGCATAATATAAGACACAGAAAGGGAACTTGAACTAGGTCATTAAAACTAGAAAGATAAAACTCCTCGAGAACTCCCAACAAATTCTTTCAAAAAAAAATTCTTTGAAAAGATTCCTTAAAAATGCTTAGTAAGGGAACAACGTCATCCGTATCTTAAAAGTAAACAAACTACTAAAAATTGGAAGTTTTATGTTCTGGTTATAAAATAAAATATAATTGACTCTTTAATGAGAAGTTGATATCAAGAAAGACAAAGATAAGAGACTTGTTTTTTTTTATTACTTTTAAGCAAAATTTTATACTCTCTAAAAACCTAATAAATGATAATGACTTTGTAATAGAGATATGTGGTGCAAAAAATGTTTTCATTTAGAGATGCTAGAACTCCAAAGTGATAAATTGGCTTGTTTTACGCTCGAAGCTATAACCATTAATTTGTCCAGCGAGCTATTGTTAAATCCACGACATCCTAATATATATCAGACCTGCAGAAAAAAAAAATCGAAAATTAGGTTATTATTTTTATTTTTATTTCTTCTAATTAGTTTTGTTATGAATATTTTACCAATGAAACTTTGTTTGCATTGATTAAATAATAATTGGTCTTTTTTGTAGCAACAGAACAAAATGACTGCGAATACAAAATGACTTCCAATTAATTATTTTAACATTTATTTTTTTTAAAATTTATGCGATTTTCAATAGTTTACTTTTGCGTAAATGGGTCATTCACACAAAAAGGTGATTTTTTAAGTCCCTTAGTAATAAATATTAGGAAATACAGCAGATTTCTTAATATTTTTCTTCGTCATTTTTTGTAAAGTTCTAACTAGCAAATCATATGCATTTCTGCTAAATGTATTTAATATTTCATTCTTATTTTTTAATAAACATAACTTCAAAATCCCCTCCGTAGACGTGCCTACGTCTGTGACACAAAATAGTTTTTAATGGCTGTTAAACAATTTAAATGTTATTTTAATGATTTTTGTAGTTTTCCCTAGTTAAATGTTTATCGTAACTTTTCATTTAATATTTTTTAAAAAAGATTTTTTTTAATAAAATAAATGACTAGTAATCTTTGTCCATCAAAAATGAAATCTCCCTCCGTGGACAATTAATATAGTTCGGTAAATATGCAATAAAGGGCAGCATATGCGAAATCCCTATAAGACAGCTGCTGGGAAAGGTAACCATTCCATTTTCTAATGTTAACTATCAGTTGTTTTTGTTCTCTTTGGCGTCAGTTTTGGATTGTTGCGTTCAACTGGGGTTTGGCAAAGTTCTCACCGTATACTCCGTGGACATCATAAAGAAGGTAAGAGAAAATTATTTTATTTTTGATAGATCAATTTTAGATTGCAAAAATAGTACATTTAATAAAAAGAACTGTCCCATATTTGTAACTTCAAAATTAAAAATCAGTAAAATTCAAGAACTAGTTTTTGTCTCCTCCGTGGACATAACGAGTCCACGGAGGAGAAGACACAGTCAATGGAAGAGACAATGTGTTAGATAACCATAATACAATTTTAATAATTAAAAAACTATTTTATTTTAATTGATATTTTTTAAAATGCAACAAATGTGTTAATTTGTGTTACTTAAAAGATTTTACACCTAGGTCAAAAATGGATGTTTCCTTTCATAGCAGCATGATTAATTGGAAGTAGCTCTATCTCTAATAATGAAATATTTTATTACTTACTTATTAATGTTAAACTCATATCAGTTGTACCCAATAATTAATGAATTAGTCTTCATTGACATTTTATATTTGATAACATAAAATGTCTCCTCCGTTGACTATTACATCTACTCCGTGGACAAGGCAGAATTTAAAATATTTTAAATCTTGTAGAAAATAAAATAGAAAACTTGACCATTATTATAAGGACATATAACGAAAATAAAAAAAAGACATTTATGTAATTTTTATCACTTTTTTAATTACTTTAATTTAAGAAAATATTTTAGTCTATTTATACCTTTTCCGTGAGAATGACCCAAATAGGCGTGGAAAGTAAAGCGTTAACTTCTTTTCAAGGAACCAGTCTTAATTCCGTTGCTCATAATTTGACGACTGAGAAAACAACAAGGTAGCATGTCTAATTTTTTTAACTGCAAAAAACTGAATTATGAATTATTATTATTATTTGCACTTTGGTTTGTTATCAATTACTAAATCCGGAACCACAATGGAATTTTTCAACAAACATTTTGCTAGCAATTATCTAATGTAGGGCTGTTGTTTTTTCAGCGGAATATCAGTTATTATAGGGGATTCGAGTACCAAACCAACTGTATAGTCGTTTTTTAACTGAAGACTCTGACCTGAAGGCTGAAAAAATTACTAGCTGAACTAAATAATAAATTAAGGAAATACTAGCTGATATAATAAAGGAAATATTAGCTGAATAAAGGAAAAACTAGTTGAAGTTCCAAAAAATAGAAAACCAGTGATTGAGTTAATACTTACAGAGGCAGGTTGGTAGTCGTTTTTTAACTGAAGACTCTGACCTGAAGGCTGAAGAAATTACTAACTGAACTAAATAATAAATTAAGGAAATACTAGCTGATATAATAAAGGAAATATTAGCTGAATAAAGGAAAAACTAGCTGAAGTTCCAAAAAATAGAATACCAGTGATTGAGTTAATACCTACAGAGGCAGGTTGGTAGTCGTTTTTTAACTGAAGATTCTGACCTGAAGGCTGAAGAAATTACTAGCTGAACTAAATAATAAATTAAGGAAATACTAGCTGATATAATAAAGGAAATATTAGCTGAATAAAGGAAAAACTAGCCGAAGTTCCAAAAAATAGAATGCCAGTGATTGAGTTAATACCTACAGAGGCAGGTTGGTAGTCGTTTTTTAACTGAAGACTCTGACCTGAAGGCTGAAGAAATTACTAGCTGAACTAAATAATAAATTAAGGAAATACTAGCTGATATAATAAAGGAAATATTAGCTGAATATAGGAAAAACTAGCTGAAGTTCCAAAAAATAGAAAACCAGTGATTGAGTTAATACCTACAAAGGCAGGTTGGGTCTCGAGTATTTGAATAGGGTGACCATGGATTTCACTTAACGGATATACGTCTGAAGAAATTTATGTTCCCTTTCAATGAGTTTTTTAAACTAAATGTTACCCATAATTGTTGTATTTTTAAAATTTTTTCTTTAATGGCTCTATATTGTAGATGCCAATAAATGTTAATCATTATTTTTTACAGTTTAAGACTTAATTCAGGCATACAACAGGGATTAGATGGGTTATAGCGGGCGTTTGAGTGAAATTATTTTATCTCTATTGAAATTTAATGAGTACTTTGGTGGTGTAATGCATATGCTAAGTCACCTTCCCCAAAAAAATACTATTTCATGCAACAGATATCATTAGTACTAGAAAAACTTAGTGGGTAAATTGAAAATGGTTTGTTTTCTGAAAATTAGAAGATGGTGGTGTAGATGAACTAATTGAAGATGATGATGAAAAGAGGATCATGAAAATGACAATTGGTGAAAACACCAGATCATAATCATAATTAAACCTTTATTCAGTAGTAGTTGTAGTGCTCGAGATAAAAAAAAAAAGAAAAATTTATCTAAATGACTTTGTAAGTGAAATTATAAATTTTGTATAATAATTTCAATAAGGAAAGGTCATGGGAGATAAATCCCCTTTGCCCTGGCTAGCCTAAAGTCACATTAAAAGTGATATTTATTCAGCCCTTTGTAGTACAGGTGTATTATAGGCACGTTATCGAAAAAGGACACTGCCAAAAGAAAAGTCAATTCAGCCAATTAGGCTTCAGCTTAATCACCAAAAAGAACGTGAGAAATTAACATAACCCTGTGACTTTTGAGATTAGTGAAAAAAATAAGCTTAAGGATTAAAGAGTTAAATATAAATTTTGATGCTTGATTTAGTCGAGACAGTGAATTAATGAGTTATACATTTGTATGCAATTACAATGTAAGCCTTTATTGATTGTTAAGAAGATAATAAAAATTTATATTTACTTTTTTACGAAATGTAATAGTAATAAAAATATATTTTGTTATCTAAATAAAATTGAATTAAAGATGATTAAGAAATAAATTTATCAAATTAAAGAAATTTTAATAGATAGGAAATACGTAATGCCTATAATGGAATCTCAGTGGGATATAGACCCTAGGTTTCTTTTTGTAAATTTAGAGTTATTACTTTTAAGAAATATTGCAACATCAGGAAGCTGTTAACGAAACTTTTGGTTATCTTTGTGCCAAAATAACACATCAGGATTCGAGTATTTTCTGCATACATTTCCAACTTCGCTTAAGCAACGTGCTTATTCTCATCCTAGGAATTCTACTTTGTTATGACTTCTTTTATCCTAGTTGCTATTATAGTCTTGGGCCTTCCATTTTTTTTTCTCGACAGGTCTTCATATGCTTCCATTATTTACAGGACCAATTTTCTTTTTACGTTGCCAAATATTTTATGTTCACTATGTCTTTATTAATATTAATGTTTGTTAAAATGTATTTCATAGATAAAATATAAATCAAATTAGTATTATTCTCTAAACAATTATTTTACATTGCAGACTTCCATTTCTTTTTTTCCTTTTTCTGTCAAACTTAATTCATGCCTTCGTTAAAAAAAGAATTCTGTTTGAAAATCATTTCATTTATTAACATAGAGGAAATAAAATAGTATGTCATGCACATGCAAATTTTGTTTTCGCTGTGTACAAATAACGTACAAAGTTTTCTATACTCAGTCTGTTTTTCAGCATTTGAACAAATTCTTTTAAAATTTATTTTTGTGCATCTTCCACTAATCTCTTCATATCTTAATAATAACTGTATTTGAAGAAATATTTCAAATTCCTTATAACAGAATAAAAACAGCATTATTTTTAAAACTTTATAAAGTAAGCCATTCGAATAATATTACGTTCTGAAATTATTTTCTTTCTTTTTTTTGTAGTGATATAATTTAATGAAAAGTGTTTCGCTGGCAGGGAAGTTTCTTTCTCTTTGAACAATATGTTACTCTATTTGTAAGTAGTTTCACGTCATCTGAAATTCATGAAGATACTTGAAACAGATGTTCCATCCGAATAGTTCTCTGACTTTCTTTTCAGATTTTACGACAAAAGGTATGTTAAAGACAATTCTTGATAAAACTTCTCCCTGCCTTTATTTTGTCTTATCTTCAAAATAATGGAAAACACACGGAAACGTATTTGTTACATTCCTTACACTAACCAATAAAAAATAAATTTGAGCAATTCCTCATAAATTCATTTGTTTTCTTTTTTTGTATCAGCTTAACAAGTTTATCTAGGAATGCGAGAGTTCACAAAATTTTTTAAATAGAAGAATAAAAGACTAATAAAATTTATCATTTGATTTACTAGATGGCTCCAATCCCTGCTCGCTGCTACTCGCTAATCCCAAAGCTGCACTGAGGAAAAATATGGTCTGAGCT